TATTACCTACCGGCTACCATTTTTTACTAATATTAAACTGGACTGTATTTCTTATTTGGACCCAATTATGAGCTTGATAGTAGGGTCAATATGTGTTTGTGGTAAGAAACGTGGTAAATTAAACTTTGTAAATTGGGGTCGACATTTAGAGGCTTGCAAAGTTTGTTTGTTTTAAACTGTGAAAGATATATCGACATAGATTATAACTTAGCCATTGATACTTTTGCAGCAACTTCTGATTTATTGAGGGACAATGTATTGTTTAAATAAAGATGTATTGTTATTAATATATTATAAGTTATGAGGCACAAACATAAGTAATTTTATTATATTTCTGATATTAAAAAGACAAAGTATATTATTGTTGTAAAATTAGTAATTGGGGGCGTGGGGGCAAAGCCCCCATGGGTCTGTGTGATAAAATTTAGGTGGTGGGGGTCGAGCATTTCATTTTAATATTCTGGCCGCCACTGCCAGTACTCACTGATAGAATATTAGTAATTTGTATTTTCTAATAATTTTTTTAAAGTAGGTGAGTGGGTGGGTGTTTCTGAAATATTTTCAGCAACTCATATTATTTTGAGGATAGCAGCCACTGATTCATAGAAAAAAAAAAGGTGGGTAAGTGGATGTCGCTCTGCTGTACAGTAGGTTACAAGTGGGTCACTGTATAATGGATGCTATCAAATTTGAATTCAATGATACAATATCATTGTATAAGAAAAACGATTCTGAGCGAAGACGGTATGTCAGTCTAGGTTTAAAACAAATTATATACATATCTATGGTATTAAAAAAAAAATTGACCTACCTATAATAAATTCCAAATTAATCATATCACATTATTACAATATCCATTAGGTACTTATAACACGTTATACATCAACATCAACAAAAACCGTGATACTATCATAGATATATAATAGTACACTTTAGAAGTTTCAAGTACCCACGAATAATATTATTCAATCACAACAAAATAACTAAAATAGTTATTCTAGGTTTTTTAATATGTAATTTCGTCCAAATTTGAATTTAAAATGTCTGTAAAAAATAACTGTGTTCATATATTTTTTAGATTTTTTGGTTATAGTATGAACTATTTATGAGAACCTTTGTGTTGAATTTGTAATCCTTAGCTATAAAAACTGAACATTTTATAATTTATTAATTACAATGATTGATAATTTTTGAGATTTTGATAAATTTTGTCAAAATTTGATCTTTAAATGCTTATAAAAAAAAACTGTGCCTATGTATTTTTAATATTTTTCAACTGATATTGTAACAATATATCAGGAGCCTTGTATTAAATTTTTACACTTTTTGGCCCAACAGATAAAACTTTATTGATATTTGTAGAAAAAAAAACTAAAAAAAATTGAAAGCTGTAAATGTCCATACACAGCTCAAAAAGAGTCAAAATATTTTCAAAATTGTATGGTGTATAGAAAATGCTAATTTAAACATTCAGTGAAATTTTCATGTATCTACAGTTGTTCGTTTTTGAATTGCAACAAAATAAGGAAATCGCTACATGAGGAATCGAGTGAAAATCCAATGTTGTAAAAATTTGAATTTCAAACGCTCATAAAAATTTAATTTGACTGTCCGGTAGAGATTTTTTTATTGATAAAGGTAGATAATCTTATAAGGAATCTTGTGTTTCATTTTCAAATCTTAGATTTAAAAAGAAAAATTTTTACGAATTCTTAACTCAAAATAATTTGCTAATTTTCGTGATTTTTCCATATTTTGTCAATTTTTGAACTTTAAATGCTTATAAAAAAAAATTGTGACTAAGGATTTTTAATATTTTTCATCTGCCTTTGAAACAACATATTAGGAGCCTTCTATTAAATTTTCAAGCTTTCGCAACCAACAAATAAAATTTTATTGATATTTTTAGAAAAAAAACTAAAAAAAAATGGAAAATGAAAATGTCCCTAAACAGTTCAAAATAAATCAAAATATTTTGAAAATGTTATCGTGTATAGAAAATGCAATTATAAACAACCAGTGAAAATTTCATGTATATACGTTCATTTGTTTTAGAGTTACACCAATAACCAAAATCGATTTTTTGGAAAACCAATTTTGCGTAAAAATTCCCGTTTTTCCTTAATTTTTATGTTGTTTTTCCCGGCGCTTGTGAAAACTATTGGTAATTTTAAATTTTGACCTCCCCAATGCACCAACGATATTCACTTTCCAATCGAACAAGATACAGAAGTCGAAAGTCGAAGCATTATTTCGACTACTTATCGTGTACACAGACAAAAAAAAAACACACATCATTGTAAAATCAATACATTCATCGTTTCACTCAGAATCTAAAAAATTAAAAAAATTGGAAACTTTAAATGTTCCTAAACAGTTTAAAACAAATCCAAATGTTTTGAAAATGTAATCGTGTATAGAAAATGCAGCTACCAGTGAATATTTCTTGTTTATACATTCATTTTTTTTTTAGAGTTAAGCCAAAAACCAAAATCTATTTTGTGGAAAAACGATTTTGCGTAAAAATTCCCGTTTTTCCTTAATTTTTTGGTGTTTTTCCCGTCGCTTTTGAAAACTATTGGGATTTTTAAAATTTGACCTCCCTAATGCACCAACTAGATTCACTTTCCCATCGAACAAGAAAATACTGTTGAAGAAAATCGAAGCAGTTTTACTGGCCTTAACCATGACGATAGACAAAAAAATGAAAAAAAACCACACATCATTGTAAAGTCCAAGGTGTATTGATAAGGTGTCGTCACTTGTTTGAAAACTTGATTGAAAATTTTACTACAGATATTCGTCACCACCGGGAGTGCTATATGTCCTATAGAGGCAATAATAAACATTTTGTACACCAAAGCAATAGAAAATTTAAAATATAATACTATTTAAGGAATAAAATTCAAAATTTTTCATTGCATAAAGACTTCTATGCTCAAAATTATTTGTATGCATGTATTTAAATACTTTCTTTTTATCAAATACAATTATTTATATTATTAAATATCTTCATTTTTAATTTTCCTATTACAAAAGAAATATTTGAAAAATGTAAGAGTTAATTCACTAAATTATCATACATAATGCTTTCAAAGTGTTACAATTAACAAATAAAAATTATTCATTTTTCATTTATTTATTAATTTTAAATACAATTCATAATATGTTGATATTGAGTTTAATACTAGTATTCAAATTACCTATGTGTTACCAAAATGCATATATTTTGAATACCTTTTTATGAGCATTTATTACTCAGTTGCATCTATTATAAAATATATTCATTATTCATAGTATTTTTTAGTATATTATTATAAAATCAATGCCACTACCCATATATTATTATATATTTACAGAGGTCCTGGAATAGAAACATACCTATATGGTAAATGGTTGATAGATTTATATGGTCATCCTTGATAAGTGCTTATTTTCTTTAGACTTTCAGCTTTTATGGAAAAAGTTTTAATAATTAACCCATGAATAATATCACAACAATCACGACAAAATAACTAAAATAGTTATTCTAGGTTTTTTAATATGTAATTTAGTCCATATTTTGAACTTAAAATGACTCTAAAACTAAACTGTGCGTCTGTGCTTATGTATTTTTTAGATTTTTTGGTAACAGAATTAACTACTTACGTGGAATCGTGTTTTAAATTTTTAATCTTTAGATATAAAAGTTGAACATTTTATAAACTTTTAACTACAAAATAATTATTAAATTTTAAATTTGATAAATTGTTGTCAAAATTCGAACTTTAAATACTTATAAAAAAAAATTGTGCCTATTTATTTTTAATATTTTTCAACGGCTATTAAATGTTCACGCTTTTTTACCCAACAAATAAAACTTTATGGATATTTATAGAATAAAAAAAAAAAGTTAAAAATGAGTCAAAATATTTTCAAATTCTTTTGGTGTATAGAAAATGAAAAATACAAACATTCAGTAAAATTTTCATGTATTTACAGTTATTCGTTTTTGAAACACAATAAAATAACAAAACGGCTACATGAGAAATCGTGTGAATATCCAATATTGTAAAAATATGAACTTGAAACGCTCATAAAATTTTAATTTGATTTGCTTATAGACATTTTTTTTTTTGATAAAGGTGGATAATGTTATAAGGAATCTTGTATTAGATTTTAAAATCTTAGATTTTAAAAAGAAAAATTTTATGAACTTTCAACTCAAAATAATTTGCTAATTTTCGTGATTTTTCAGTATTTTGTCAAGATTTGAACTTTAAATGCTTATAAAAAAAAACTGTGAATAAGGATTTTTAATATTTTTTAACTACTATTGTCACAATATAGTAAGAGCCTTGTATTAAATTTTCAAGTTTTATTACCCTACAAATAAAATTTTATTGACATTCATAGAAAAAAAGTTAGTTCACGCCGTCACTGCCACTGATAGAATATTAGTAATTTGTATTTTCTAATAATTATTTTAAGGTAGGTCGTAGGTGGGTGTTAGGGTGTTTCTGAAATATTTTCAGCAACACATATTATTTTGAGGATAGCCGTCACCTATACCCATAGGCTGTAATAGCTCTACCAGAATAATATTATATTAAATAATACTCGACAATTAATTATTTAAATAATTAAAACTGGAACTTTTATCATAGTTTTTCATACCTTTCTATAGTGTAAACTACATGATAATATTATTTATATCATATATAATAATTATTTAATTAGTTAAAAAGATTTTTTTTCTTTGACTAAAATAATAAAATGTATTTATTATATTTATATAATAGGCCAGTATAATATGTTGTATTTTAATCGAACTGAACTAAAAATATGTCCTTTTATTATAGTAATATTAATAATATGATATTATAATATATAATAATAATAATATAGTTCTTGAACAAGGTACATTTTTATAAATAATTTTAGTATGATAATACGGTCAGCGTACAGAAAAAACAAACCGTTACTATACGAGATAATATTAAAATATTGTTTACGAACAGATGACTCAAGAATCGAAAGAAAATATCACTATAAAATCATTAAGTGAAGAAGAATCAAAGGATCAGCCAAAAATCACAGAGGAAAGTGCTAGTGTATCCAGTAAAAGTGTATTCGCAAGGTATAAATCCGGAATCGAGTTAAATTTAATATTAAGAGAAACATGATTTATTGTACTTACCTACAATTACAATATATACAATATACATAATACACTACCTATACATAATTATATAATATATAGGTAGGTACTGTACTTTAAAACTATTTGTATATTTTTGGGCATCATATAATGCATTAATATAATATCTGGTAGTGGCCAGTAGGTACCTCATTAGGTACTTATAAGTAATTATATTACATACAATTACATTTTTTGTCGTCCCTTTGAAACTCAACACGATTCGTAAATGTTCAGGCATTCACGGTTTATTTTTTACTGCCTTATTGGGCGCTTATATTGCATATTATAGTTAACATTTTTGTAGTCTCCTTGAAACTTATATAATATTGTATAACAAACGTCTTACACTCGTCAATATAAAAATATGTAATTGATTTCAAGATCAAAAATTTAAATCAAATTAAAGTGTCATCACTGGTTGGCTTCTTTCCTCAAATTATTTAAATCATGTTCTATTGTTATAGGTCAACCTAACCTAACCCATATATTATACTTATTATTCCTACGATATAGATTGTATATTTTCTCCTAAAAATGAAAATAAAAAAGATCAAAAATCTAGTTGAACAAAAGGAAATAATAATTTTATGTGGGTATTTCTCAACGTTGGTGATTGAAATCCTTGAAATAAGCCAATGTTGTATGTGTTGTTATATTTTAAATAGCTCATTATTTATTTTTCGAAACAGAAAAACCAAAATTACGGAAGCTAATAAATACCAGCTTATTATTTTTATAATTTATAATAATTTATATATTTTTTGATCGAGAAAATTAATTTTTCCTGCAGGTGGTTGAAACCAAAGAGTGTTAGTGGATTGAAATTCGTGTCCAAAGACGTTTTATTGATACGCGTTGGAAAAACGTTAATATTTTATGACGGGAATACGCAAAAAGAAGATATTCTAATAGTAAGCAGTAAATCATCCCCGGGGGTGGTGGTGATGATGATCTACATTTAGAAGGTATTGAGTGCGTCGATTGCTGTGATACAGATTTACTGGCCTTGGCTGAACACCCACCAATATCCAAGGTGGTAATTTGCTTATATCCTGACCTGAAAGTTTTGGCGAATCTTGTTGGTACTTACCAGCAAGATATATATTTAATATATATAAATTATATATATAAATATATATTATAATGTATAATACCTTTAATATGACATGATTTAAAAATAAACTTCTAGAATGCACCAAATAGATTCATTTTCCTATCGAACAAGATACTGTTGAAGAAAATCGAAAAAAGTTGTACTGCCACATAGGTGATGACAGACAAAAAAAAATTAAAATTAAAAAAAAACACACATCATTGTATAATCAATAGGTACATTCGTCTCTCTGTTCAGAATCTAAAATATAAAAGCCACTGTGATGAAAAAGTGTTTGAAAAAATGTATATATAGGTACAGCTAGTTCCATAATATAAAAATTTGCTCTGCTGTACAGTAGGTTACAAGTGGGTCACTGTATATCAGTTCTAATGGATGGTGTTAAATTTGAATTCAATGATATAATATCATTGTATAAGAAAAACGATTCTTAGCGGAGACGGTATGTCAGTCTAGATTTAAGACATATTATGTAGGTACATATCATGGTACTATGGTCTGGTATTAAGTGTTTTACAGTACAACTAATGGTACGATGAAAGTTCTGACGATACAAGTCATTCGTTCGGAGGGTGGTGTGTCAATATGGTAAGCGTACATAAATAACTTATATTATTTACAGATTTATCTTTAGGAAAAATAGGCAGTACTAATTATAGATCCATATGCTTATAAGACGAATAGGTATGAGGTATTCGCGCTATTTATACTTTACTTAATTTATGTAAAAAAAATGTTTATACTATTCACAGGTTCCTCTTATACTACTATAGTGTGCATCCATGCCCGAAAAAGGTATTACTTACTTATTATATTATATTCACATGATGTAGGCGATGTAGCACTTAATTAGTGTGTATACAGATTTTTAAAATCCAAATACATCATAAAACCTTGATGACACAGTCACGTGGATCACGATAAGTCCGCATACCATAAAAAATGGTCTCTATATAATACTAATGTCTATAATTGCCAATTGGGAACATTAATCGATATCGATTTTCTTTTTTTTGGTTATTACTTATTATAGATCTTATCTTCGCCGCAACAAGTGGTGGTACAGCTGGCAGGCTCGTCACATACACGTACAACATGATCATGGGGCAAAGTATTCCCGTCCTTACGCAACGTAATACTTATACATAGGTACATAATATATTAAAAAATACCTATATATAATACGTGGAGGGTCACAAACGATATAATATAATGCCACGCTGTGCGGGCCCGTTTCAAAAATATGATACGGCAATGATGCCGCACATAAAAATATAAAATGTATATAATATAAAATATAAAATGTATATAATATAAAATTGTATAAAATGTATATAATATAATATTATAATAAAATCGACTAGTCACGTGTCCGTCTAAAACGTCTAGTTCAAGCGGCACGAGTTTGTTCATAAAATAGAATTGGGCTGAAAATAGGTTGATATCTTACAGTTTTATACGCCCGTCAGACAGATATGTTTTCAACGTCTTCCGAAGGATCTATAAGAGAAATAAAAACATACAATTTATTTAAAATGTTGTACAGGTACTTAAACTGTTTTTCTAACAACACGTGTATAAACAAAAATAAAAACAAATTATGCTGTTTTCATAATATATTATAATATTTTGCATAATATTATATCATATTATATTGAATGCATAGGTATAATAATATCCTTTTATATTAGGTATATAGTTCGATGTGATTCAATAGTATTTATAATATTTATATATTATAATATTACCAAATATTAGATGTTCTTATTTCATATTATATTGATCTCTTGCCGTCGGTGGGAAAAATCCTACAAGATTTCCCATATGTTCTTTAACAATAGTTGTTTGTTCATTTTTCATTTCACCCATTCTGCGTAGTTCGTAAAATATAAACAAAAAATTATAACAAATGGTTTTAAGAACTGAAGTAGTTGTGTGTGAAAAGTTGTTTTGGTTATTTACGCAGTAAAAACTTTTCCAACTAATGTAATGAAACTACATAATATGTATAATGGAAGTATGTACAATATTTGTATCAAACCATTTGAACATATTAAATAGTATATGTACCTACCTGAGTTTCATTTATATTTTATACACTTTTATTTAAACACAAAAATAATTTAAGCATTCAATATCAATTTTCATTAATGACTATAATTATCAACGATTAAAATTTATTTAATTGTTCTCATTTTCAAATAAATTCACATAAATCATAATGAAAAGAATGAAAAATATATAGAACAGATTACTTTAATTTATAATATAATTTACAAATGAAGGGCAATGTAATATACTAATATTATTAGGTATAGCTGATGTAGGTAAATATATTAATATATTATAATTCATTTTCAAAACACATAATTCAAAATGTCATTGTAGGTCTGTTTCTTTTGGTTCCCTTCTAATAAATACTTTTATTTTAGCTTTAATTTGAAAATAATATTATACTAATATTATATGTATCATCTCAGTAAAAAACAAAATTTTCCCATCGGCCAAAAAAAAGATAAGATTGAATGTAAAGACAATGTTTATCTTTTTTTTTTAAAAAATTGAAGGTATTGTTAATCACGAATTTGTACACCGTGGACTAACAGTCAATCAGGTTTTCTATAAGTTAGTTATAGTACCTACGTATTTATACTTTGCGATGAAATATTTGGAAAAAATTCCTAGAAAAATTGAATGCACCTGAAACCTGGTTTCTTCACTAAGACAATGCGTCAGCACAATCAGTGCTGTCAATTCGTGAATTTTTAGTTGATAAAAATATACTTGTGGTACTGCACCTTTCCTATTCTAATGATCTGACTCGGTGTGATATAATATATTTATTTTCCCACGACTAAAATTTGGGCTTATAGAACAACAATTAATACCATGATGTGCAGCTTCAGAACTAAAACTCTTAACTTCGGAACAGTTGCAAGGATATTCAAAAAATTACAAGATTCCCAGGTCCACTATACATATCGTCCGGTGACAGTATTTTGAAGGAGATATCGTAAATAATGTGTAACTTAAATTTGTACTTATTAAAAATAAAATGTCTGTACTTTTTGAACAGACCTCGTACCCAGGGGTTAATGTGGGGGGACGCATGAGGTCTCAGTCCCCCTACCTCTGACGGTGGTTAAAAAGCGTTCCCTTTAACAAATTAGGATTTTTTGCATTAGACATTATACATAAAATTATATAGGAACGCTTAAAACTATATGGAGACATTAGTCCCCTCTGGAATTTTTCCCCACTTTAACCCCTGCTCGTACCTAAGAAAACTCTTAAATTGTTAGTTGAACATTGTTATTGAAGATATTTTACTATAAATTATTACTACCTATATGTTAATAGTTAAATGGTTTAATTAAACAATATATTGATGGAGTTACCTCAGCTCCTCCAATTTAACAGCCTCCGAAAATTCATTCATAGCAACCTTTTTCTGTCTTTGTCTCAGATCTGTTTTCTGGTCGATCGACATTTTTAACTCTTTTCCATAGTTGATCATCATTTGCCGTCGCTCAGCGTTTTTTTTCTCCTCTACTTCGTTAAAGACTTGGAAGTTTTGCAATAACTGTGACATATTAAATATTATACGGTTTTTAAAAGCATTAATCATTTATAATTTAATCTATTACTATTTTGACTAGATCATAATCTTTTTCTTTCTCTGCTTTCTCTTTGTCTTTTTTAATGTTTAATTGCATTTCTTTTTGTTTCAGCATATTTTCCGGTGCAGAATTTTCGAATCCTTTTCTTTTTTGTCTGCCAACCAAGTAGCACTTCGCTGTTCTTCGTATAAAAGTTTATTTTGCATTTCGATATTTTTTGATGTATGAGACTACAAAAAAAAAATATATATATATATTGAAATAAAAATAATAATATATTATTCAGTAGTTACAGTATATCATCTTTAATTTTAATATTTGTCAATCGAATTATACTTACCGTTAATGATGCTAAATTATCAACTAAGCAATTATAAATTCTGTCATTGTCTACTTTCTTTTGGTTTTTAAATTCTTCCTGTTGTTTATTCCGCTTATCAATTTCCATCAAATACTCCTCTATACGCCTATACATACATATTAAGACACGGTACAATAATATGCACAATATTTCAAATTTTACTAGGATTCTTACTTATTTGTATTATCGGATTCTTTGCGTTCAATTTCCTTTCGATCATTTTTCATTTTTGTAAATAATTCCAGTTCTTTTTGAGAACAATTCGTTTTAACATTATTTTTTTGTGCTTCACTGTTTTCAGTTGCTTCAAAAATTACAATAGGATTATTTTTTAGTGAGAACTCTTGTTGTTTTTTGATGATGTTTTCCTGTATTTGCTCTGTGATCGCCTTTTTATAATCTAAATTAAGTTCATTTTTTAGGGTTTGTTGTTCTATTTCCTCCTTATTTTCGTCATTTCTAGATTCTATCATTCTCAAATCATCATAATATACTCTGGCTTTCTCTTCTTTTTTTAAAGCTTCATTTTCTTTAATTTGACACATTAAATCTTTTTTTGCATAAGCCGTTCGCAATTGCTTCTCTACATGACGAAGTTCGTGCGAATTGTTTTGAAGTAACTGACTACGAAAAATTATACCAAACAGTTAGTTGTTTTAAAATTTAAAATTAACACGATTTAAAATATTAAGCAACTTGGTTTTTATTTCGACAATTTCACGGCGTTTTAAATCTGCCATCACTTGAGCAAGTTTTTGCTCTTGTTCCAACTCAGCGATTTGTCTGGCCTGAGCTTCTTTAGCCTGAAAATACAAAACGCTATTCAAAACGTTTATTGGTTTTTAATAAGTCATATACTTTTTGTATATTCGTGAACATCTCTTCTTCCTCTGACTCTAAATGCATACGCCTATACAACGATACATTAGCTGCGTTCTGACGCATTTTGCAGATTTCAATGCAACGAGCATCGTTAGCTATCTGTTCGGAAATCTTTTTCTGTGCTTCTATGGTGCTGATCTCAGTTTTTTGTTGTTCACTCATACTCAGATAAATACGGAAATTAAATTAGTTTTAAATTATATTTTTAAACAATTGTTATGAACGCATTAGCTATTAGTATATAGTATTAGCCCTTTGTATTAGAATATAAGAGATTATTATTGTAGTCTGCGGGTAACGCCTAATGTGTGGGCGACTCCCGGAATATTGCAGCTACACGGCAGCCGCTAGGGAACCGTGGAGACAGTCGTCTTAGCTCTTTAAAACCTGTACGTCGTTCTGACAGTCAATTATAAATATTACAGTGAATTATAAATTTCGACTCACAATAAAATTATATTAGTATTTAAATCTTTAAAACTGTTTTGTTGTACTCTCTCCAAAAATTGAACCCTCACACTACCGAAATAACAACGTTCAAACGGAACAACCCGTACGAGCACAACAACTGGTGGCAGCGGTGTCGCGGTCATAATTTTTGGAAAAGAAACAACTTCAGAAGGATAACTAATATATCTAATATATATCTATTCGAGGTAATTTTATACTTCATTTTGCAAATATTAAAACTACTTCGTCCACGTAGGTATATCGTCATAAGGACTATATCAATTGAGAGGTGGCATATAAGTCACTCTCGTCAAAAAAGTTTTTCACGGGCGTTCCAGTTGTCAACAACAAGCGCACCGTCTATAGTGGACACGCATTGTATTCAACGTCGTGATCTACTCTTCACAACACCATTATAGCCACGGTGCCGCCGCCGTAGCCGTCGTCACCGTCGCCGTCGTGGAGTCACCACCGCCGCTGTGTTGCTGCAGCCGCTCTTGTCGCGATAAGCTGTTACGTCAACGCCAACGCGTCGTGGGACACACAATCACTTGAGCACAATACAACTGAATGCGATGCATTCATGGGTAATATTGTAAGCTAATTATTAAAATATTATTATACATATATATTTATTTTTTTTTTTAACGTATTATTGTCGACTGGTACGACTATAAGTCGTTGTCATTATTACTATTAGTATTTGTATGATTATTATTATTTCTATATCAATAGTGGTATTAACTATAGGGAGTGGTGATACTACAAATTATAATATTCTAGCCATATTAATTTAATTAATTTTTTTTATTTTTATTTTTACGTATACAATTTAATGCATGTCAGATAGGTCTAGTAATAGTAACAGTAGTTCCGAGAGTTCTGATTTAGACGAAAACTACGTACCATCGCGTCCGATTGGCATAAGTCTGTTAGGATTGTCTAGGCCTGTTACTAGATTACTGAATAACCGTCAAAAAGAAAACGTAATACAAGATTGTAGACAATCGAAAATAACAAATAAAAATTTTAATTCAAAATTGCTAGTAGGTACAAAAGATAATATTCAAACTATAGAATCTAATAACACAATGGCACTACCTACTTCGACCACATTATCCTTAGAGACAGCAATAAGATTAATTCCACATTTCAATGGGGAGAATGTACAGGAGGTATATCCATTTATAAACGCATGCAATTTTGTCATGCGAAATGTTGATGAAACCATAAAACCGGTACTCTTACAAGTTATAATTACTAAGTTGTCAGGCAAGGCGTTCGCGATAACCCAACATAAAGAAATTTCTACATGGGAAATACTTAGGGATAATTTAGAAGGCACTTTCTGTGCTACTCGCACACCCGGATATCTTCAGTTAGAGCTCACTACTACTAAATTCCAACAAGGTGAAACGGTACGAGATTATGCAACGAGAGTAGAAAAACTATTGCATGAACTTTGTAACGTAAGCACAAAGGATAAATCAGCTGGTGACGCTAAAGCTATACATAATTACATAAAAGAAACAACTTTAACTACATATATTGAAGGTTTACCATCTACTATTCGGGGTGTAGTCAAATCCAAGAATCACCCAACGTTAGAAGAAGCCATAAAGGATAGTTTAGAAGAAGAGAAGATTTATCAATCAAATAAAGGAACACAACGTTTGTTGAATAACAAACCAAATAATATGAATATTAGTAAATATTGCAAATATTGCCGAAAAACAAACCATAATACACATGAGTGTAGATTTGGAAACAACAATGTCGATACGGGACAGCAAAGTAAACAATCCAAAGGATTCAATAATCAAAGAAATCAGGAGACTAAACAAGTATCGTGTATTTATTGCAAGAAAACTGGTCATACTATAGATGTATGTTATAAGAAGAAAAATGCAGATGAACGCAAAGGAAACCAGAATAATAATAATCAACCATCAACGTCGGGAAACGGCAAGGAACCGGGCAAAGCGGGTGTCCGTCTGGTTCGCGAATTGAAAATGATCACCCAAAATTAAATGTCTTAAGTTTTAAAGTGAAGCTAAAAAATAATCATGCCATATGCGAAATACCACAATGTATAAATCACAAAATTAATTTACTTTTAGACACGGGTGCAGAACTAAACCTTATTAAATTAAATACACTTCAGGACGATGTCCAGTTGTCAGACAAAAAAATTTACAATATGCAAGGCATAAATGACAAATTAGTAAGTACACTAGGAAGTACAGTACTAACAGTATCAATAGATAACGAAACATACGAAACCGAGTTTCAAGTAGTGGATTCAACATTTCTTATAGTGGGTGATGGAATATTGGGAAACCCATTTCTAAAGGCCAATAGGATTATCATCGACGTAGGAAAGGAAGAATTGTCTACCAGGAATGAAAACTCAAACGTCATACCAGCTCGTAGTGAACTTATAATCCCAGTACATGTTAACACTAATGAGTCATCAAGTCACAATGTACTTATCCACGCTCAAGAATTAAACAAAAATATATTATGTGGAAATGTACTTAATATTATAAAAAATCAACAAGTTCTAATAAGTGTAATGAACCCTACAGAAGAACCACAAGAAATATTAACACCAAAACTCACGGATCTATCTCATGAAATACTCGATACAGTCTCAATGAACAATATGCGTACGGTAGAAAAATGTAGCAATCCAGAAAATCGTATCCAAATTTTAAAAGATTCACTCAGATGTGACCATATGAATAATGAAGAAAAAACAACAATTCAAGAGCTATGCAGTGAATATGCAGACATATTCTTTTTAGAAGGAGACACGATCAACTGTACAGAAGCGGTACAACATGAAATAAAAATACCAAGTGTGTGACGATCAGAGTTGGATGACCGTTTAACCATACTATCTGTACACCTAGGCTGTAGTGATACAAATGTTGCGTGTGCGTGCGACAGCCGACTTTGTCCCGTGGGTCCAAGTCCGCCGATCGACGACAACACATGCCGGTGCGACAACGCACACACGCTCCCCTCTTTCATCTCCATGGTCTGGGCCACGCCGACTTATGACGTGTTTAGGGATATCGGCCGATTAATTTACGTCTCCACATGCTCTCGCTCTGTCTTCCCACTCCCACTGTCTCTGTCACCCGTCGTCTTTTTCGTGCGTTTGTGGCCGAATAAGCCGACGAACTTCACTTCTTTTTCCTACGCCGGTACAAGCACAATGCTAGGAGAGTAGAGCACCGCGGTCGCCGTAACGCCATCGGACGGCACTCACGACAGGAGCATGGTGGTTCGTATACTCATATTTTACTACCTATTTAGCACCGTGGCCGGTATCCCTATTGAAATTATTATTATCATTATTATTGCCATATTTGGTTGAATTATTATTATCATTATTATTGCCATATTTGGTTGAATTATTATTATCATTATTATTGCCATATTTGGCTGAATTATTATTATTATTATTATTATTGCCATATTTGGCTGGTATATGTTATTGTTCTTGTGTGTGTCATTTTTATTCATTTTGTCCGAGTTTTATGCCAGCGGCTTTCTCGGCGCCCACCTTAGAAGTATGAATAATATAATGTTTTTTTTTCTACCTACTTAGTGTGTTGTGTTTATCCTTTCTTAGCACGAGCGTTAGGATTTCCTCATTCCTGGTCTTACCAAGTATAAAAATCCACGGTGCTCCGACCTTTTGGGGTCCCGGCTCGTGGTTGGCGACCTTACTCGACCACATGACTCTCGGGTCATGAGCAATATGACTCGAGTTGTCACAGATGGCGACCTTGCCAGGATATTAATTATGACTATAATTAATTTGAAAGAGAAAAAAAAAATAGAATAAAAACATGACACATAGGTAGTATGAGGTACATCACTTGTATATTATAGTGTTTGCATTACTACGGGTCCAAGTAAATATGGTTCTAAGAGTTCGAGATTGGACAGATAGGTACATGATATTATATATGTATAGGTGATATTGTTCTGAGTACGTCTAGGAAAATACCGGCCATGTTTGTAAATAGTCTACTGTCCAAGAACCACTGTTGCCTGCGTGTATTTTCAGGAATGCTCCTGGTAACAGCCCATGTATTGTGGCCGACATAATATGCTACGGGTTGATGTTGTGCTGTGCGCCCGTGTCTATGTTGAGACCTGAGGCTGTTTGCGTGTGTGCCGTATTCCGCCGTCACCGTGCTCACCGTCGCTGATGTCACGGAGTTGTCGAGCATCACGGTCACCGAAGGGGTTAGTCGTCATCGCGTTGGATTTTGGTCGGCGGCTAGTAATAAGTTGTATTTTAAGGTATATTTCTGTACACGTCGGTGTGTGTGCCTGTGTATATGTCTCGTCTCCTTTATCAGGTGTGATGATGTAACCGTACGCAAATTGAACGTATCTATCAGTTATCGGTCTACCGCCGTCTACCGTTTATTATCTATGTTTGGGTGCGTGTCGTTCCGGCGTAGCCGTGCGAACGTTCCCCATTCCCTGTCCACCGTAACGGTGTCTACGCCACGCACATAATATTATTATAATTAATTAATTATTATCCGTTCGAATAAGTTCATCGTTTATTTTTTTTTCTTCGACCGGTTTTCGCTGAATAGCGACCGATGTGTATAATGTATATAATCATATGTAATAGGTCTCGGCATTGCCCGCCTGGCATACATATCGTAACGATGGTCATTCCGTATACGCTGTATGAATCCACGCGCAAACAGATCGCATAATATTATTACAAAGACGATGATGTCTTATTCCAATATTAAATTTTAAAATATGTTGCGAGTAGATTTTTTTTTTTTTTAATATATCGTTAGATTTTGGTTGGTAGACCAAGACTGTATATTTTGCCCGCTAGGCCCGTACACACACTGATGGTTAGTTTTAAGCTGCACATAAGCTGTATCCCACGGTGATAATAACGCACGCACGTCACACGCACTCTAGGTAGTCACACGTCTGTGTTTTCGTTCATACGTCCCGTGTACGTACTGCTAGGTATCTCGTTATCGAGAGTAATGTGCCCACCTAGTGGGAGTGTATATTAGTACTTGATGTGGTGCATAACACCATAATCATTTAATTTTACGTTATGGTTATTACTGGTTAAATTGGTGGTTTCAGCCCCGCCGACCGCCGTGTCATTGGGTAAATTTGTTAACACTATCTTATTGTGTTATTCTTAAGTTATTTTCTATTCTATAGATTCAACACTGTTGACCAATGTGTCGTTGAATTAATTTAGTTTTCATCAACAAATTTGTCTGTTGCTGTGTATTTTTATCATATCTGTTGATGCGATTATATGTATTTACGTTTATCGTTAATCGTTATGAATGATAAATTATATTACCGTTTTTTTTATTAATTTTCATTTTGTTCCATTCAAATATTTAAAACTATGTACCGCGCCACGGTGATTTTCAAGTATACTTGCCAACCTACTATTGTGTTCCTATGTGTCGTCCCGGCGTTCCGGCGACGATTTCCATTGATATAGTATCGTAAATTTATTTTTTGTAATACTGACATTATTTGTCTTACGACCTAAAATTTTCGTCTGCATTTTCCAAGCCTGCACTTTAGCAGGTCAATATTTATTTGTTTTTTTTTCCTGTTGAAATTCATTGTGGATTAGGGGTTCAACTACGGATTGTGTTCTTTCAAGTTTCGATTGTTTGATTGTCCGTGCCTACATTTATGTACTCCGCTGGTAAGCGAGACACTCATCCGCCAGATCGTCTAATTGACCGTCTTCTTCAGCCCGATACGCCCCCAATGCCACCAACGACTACTATGTCGGAGACACCGAATAAAAACGTAACCACGGTTTCCCAAGCTGGGATGGCAACAGGGAATGTCCATCCGCAGCCTACCAAAGTTGAACCTACCCTCGCCGATCTTATCGCCATCATGAATGGTCATGCCAGCGATCAGGCACAACGGTTTGACCGTCTAGAAAATCAGTTTAGTGGTTTTACCAAACGACAAGATGCAGTTGAGTTGCGAGTGGATAAAACTGAAAAAAATATCGCCACTCTTCACCGCAACTCGATCGACCAGCGAACTGCATACACGAAATCCGATGAGAGTGTAGCGAAGATCCACGTCGACGTCGAATCCCTTAAGGAAACTGTAAAACAGGTACAATCCGATTTAAAGGTACTTTCGATCCACTCTACATCTCAAGCGCAATCATTCCAGCCGATATCCAATTCGACGGAGGCACATATCAACTCTCGACAATTACCAAATTCGTATGGCCAGTCTTTTGTGTCTGCGTCAGTTAGTCAATCGGAACGGTTCACTGATGCCGTGTCCGAGTTCACTGGCCGTCGTCAGGATGTGCACCCAGAGAAGTTCTTAAACCAGTTGGACCAATACTTCTTGTATAATTGTCCACACGATGATCAACGTGTCGAACTTTTTCAACGGCGGTTGACCAGTGGTTCACGAGTATGGTTTGATTCACTTATGCCTGTCCCAACCACCTATGAGGAGGTGAAGAAGCTGTTCCGCCAGCAGTTTTGGTCTGCGGCCACACAAAGAAAAATTAGGAATGAAATTTTCCAACCCTGTCAATACCGTTCACCAGTGGGGATCAACACTCATGCTATGACTTGGATTGCTAAAGCTAAATACTTATCTCCACCCATCGACCAATTTGATCTTGTTGGCATAATCATACAGCATTATCCGTCTACGTTGGGGATGGCCATCCGTGGCCGGGGGCCACAAACGACGAACGCCTTATTGTCCGTATTGACAGAGATTGAGGAATCCACGTCCTTCTGCGAGGCCCCAGGGTCCCGTCAGTCAGACCATGGCCCAACTCAATCAGCACGGAACCATGACCAACCACCACGAGATCCTCAAGAGCGGAGAGGATATCAGCCACGTAATAATAATCGGAATAACTACCGAAACGGTCCAAATCGAGGACCCCAAAATGATCACCGTCCTCCGGCTCGAGACGAAGAACCGATTCATCAGCTGAACGCTTCGGGAAACGAACCACAGTCTCGCCAGTGAATATGGCACCTGACGAGACTGGATCGTCAACCGATTGCCATCCACCGATCACCAATTCAAATGAATTCCAGGGACATGTTCCATACCGTCCGGAAATTCCCGTCGAGGTGTGTGGTGTGTCTGGTTCTGCCTTGCTCGATTCTGGAGCATCCGTTTCGGCCATATCCGAAGAATTTTTTGCTACCATCAAGAACCGGTCCCCTACCAATAAGATTTTGTCCATCTTACCTGTAACCGGAGTTACAATCTCAACAGCTGTGCGTGGGCGGAGCAAGAAAATCACGAAGCAAGTCTTCATGCCACTGGTCTTGTTTGAAAAAGACGCCCCAGGTGTTTTCCTCGTCGTCCCACATCTTGCTACCCCCATCATCCTTGGAGATGACTGGCTATCGAAATACGGAGTTGTTCTCGATTATTCTGGACACTGCATCAAATTTCCTCAATGGGGAAAAGAATATTCATTCAAGGGCGACGATGGAGATGTTCCAGCAGCCCAGATTACCCGTATAAATGTCCATTATACTACCGAACACGTCGTGCCCACTGGATTGGAACATTGTCTCTCTAGTATGGATAGTTTGGATAGATTTTCATCACCACCTCGGAATTTGGAAATTAACTGTATTAACAACCACGTATGTCCCAGAGATCCACTATCAAATCGGCTCAACGAACTCATGGCGAATGGCGCTGAGATTACGGTCGAACAACAACAAGGTCTATTACGTCTTCTCCAGGAATTCACTCACATTTTTAGTGACCGTCCTGGACTGAACCAGCTCTATATGTGCCGTTTCACCGTATCCGAAGATGTACCGTTCAAGATTCGCCCATACCCTGTGCCTTTTGCCAGACGACCCGCGGTAGAGAAGGAACTCCAAAGGATGCTGGATTGGGGGGTTGTTGAACGATGTTCATCACCTTACAGTAACCCAATCATCTGTGTAGGAAAAGCCGATGGGTCCGTGCGGCTGTGTTTGGATGCTCGCCGCATTAACAAAGTTATCCTTCCGATGCGCGACTCATCTCCGCCTCTCGATGAACTACTTGCACGTTTTGGTGGAAAGTCCATATTCTCCAGTGTCGATTTTACTGCCGGATATTGGCAAGTGCCCCTACACCGGGAGGTCCGTAAATATACAGCATTTGTCTACGACGGTCGGACATATCAGTTCACGGTCGTCCCGTTTGGTTTGAACATCTCCAATACCGCGTTCGGTCACGCCCTCGAAGCCGTCCTTAATGTGTCGCTCCCAGACTGTGAAGACAAGATGAACGATCTACATATATACGTCGACGATCTACTAGTATCATCATCCAATTTCGACGAACACCTCCAACGCCTCCGTATTCTTTTCCGGAAAATCGCCATGTCGGGCATGACGCTGAAGCTCACTAAGTGTGAATTCGTCAAACAGCAAATCAAGTTTCTGGGCCATATTATTAGTTCGTCCGGAATGTCCATGGACCCTGAGAAGCTCATGGCCATCCGCAGCTTTCCCAAGCCACGTACAAAAAAAGAATTACAGTCGTTCATTGGTTTCTGCAATTTCTACCGGAAGTTCGCTGATCACCACGCCTCGTTAATAGCTCCTTTGATCAATCTCATTAAGCAAGGTGTGCCGTGGAAGTTTGGAGAAGAGGAGCTCAAAATGTTTGACCGCGTGAAGCAATCGTTTACCGAACAGTACCTCTCGCACCCCTTGTTCGATCAGGTATTTTACTTGCAGACCGATGCCAGTAAACTCGGGTTGGGAGCTGAGCTGTTCCAACTTACGTCTGACGGAGAACGCCGAACGATTTTGTTCGCCAGCCGAACTCTGAACTCTGCGGAACAGAATTACTCCATTACCGAGTTAGAACTCTTGTCGGTGGTGTTCGCTTGTGAAAAGTTCTGCGTATTTATTCTGGGATATCCTGTTCAGGTGCTCACGGACCACCAAGCGTTGACCTTTCTCTTCCAGTGTCGTCTGAGGAATGCGCGTCTTACTCGTTGGACACTACTTTTGCAACAGTTTGATTTGCGGATCACCTATATTCCCGGGCCTGATAATATTCTGGACGCGTTATCGCGAAACCCAGTAGGACGGAATGACGAGGTATCCAGGTCACTAAGTGGTCCCAGTATTCTACTAACCACCCCTATAAGCGTTCGTAAAGAACGTGATCGACAACTACCGTGTTTCCAAGCTATATTGTCCTCGCAAAGAGACGACCCACCATTGAAGAAGATTATAGATCTCCTTAACGGAGACAGTCTAGAGGCCTGGCCACAAAGTCAGTACTACTGCCTTGTTGAAGATGTTCTTTTCTACCGTCGCCACGCAAGCAGCGACCAGTGGTTGGTCTGTGTCCCAAACCATCGAATCGATGAACTCATCGTTTCAGTACATCACCACTTCGGGCACGTCGGGCCAAAGAAATGTATTTTAGCTATTCGAGATTTCTGTTTTTTCAAGCACCTCCAGACCCGTGTACGTTCAGTGATACGCGCGTGTGATTTATGTCAACGAACCAAGGCGTCTACTCAACGCCAAGAAGGTGAGCTGAAGTCTGTCCTTGCCGACGTTCCCCTTGGTCGCGTTCTGGTTGATTTGTACGGTCCACTTCCTCAGGGTTGGAATAACGAACGATACGTTTTTGTGGTCTTAGATAATTTTTCTCGATATGTCCGTTTGTACGCAATAAAGAAGGCCACTGCAGTCACGGTTACGAATCGGATGATCAACGATTACATCGCCACGTACGGTAGTCCAAGGTGTATAGTGTCAGATCACGGCGCCCAGTTCACTAGCAAGGTCTGGCAGAACCGCCTTCGGGAGAGAGGAGTACCTCCAACGCTGACTTCAGTATACCACCCTCAGTCTAACCCGGCCGAACGAGTTATGCGGGAACTCGGGAGGATGTTTCGAACTTACTGTAATCAAGATCATGCTGAGTGGCCAAGACACCTTGGATACATTGAATGGGTACTGAACAACACTGTGCACGAAGCTACAGGGTATACGCCGCAAGAACTGTTTCTCACCCTCGAACGATACAACCCATTTAGTGCTGTAGTCTCTTTTCCACTCAGGGTCGCACTATCTCAGCAAACAAAAATGACTCTGGCACGTGAGGTTCAGCAGTCCCATGCTGAGCGACGACGTTTACGTCATGATCAACAGGGTCGAGTGACAAATTTTGTTGTCGGAGATCGTGTATTGGTACGAACACATCGTTTGAGTTCTGCAGTCGATAAGCAAATCCACAAATTCTTTTTGCTGTATCAAGGACCATACGTTGTTGTGCGCGTTTCGTCACAAAATGCTTACACGGTAGCCGACGTAGAAACAAACCGGATTATAGGGACCTATAACATAATACACTTGCGTCGGTACATCACACCCGGACCGGGTCCACTTCAACCGGCTGAAGTCACCGAGGTCCCCCAACGCACACTATCGTCATAGTCAAACACGTCACCCACGTCATGTTCTGTTTATAGTGTAGAAGTTCGTTCCCACGGGTACCAACTTCTACAGGGGGGTTTCTGTGACGATCAGAGTTGGATGACCGTTTAACCATACTATCTGTACACCTAGGCTGTAGTGATACAAATGTTGCGTGTGCGTGCGACAGCCGACTTTGTCCCGTGGGTCCAAGTCCGCCGATCGACGACAACACATGCCGGTGCGACAACGCACACACGCTCCCCTCTTTCATCTCCATGGTCTGGGCCACGCCGACTTATGACGTGTTTAGGGATATCGGCCGATTAATTTACGTCTCCACATGCTCTCGCTCTGTCTTCCCACTCCCACTGTCTCTGTCACCCGTCGTCTTTTTCGTGCGTTTGTGGCCGAATAAGCCGACGAACTTCACTTCTTTTTCCTACGCCGGTACAAGCACAATGCTAGGAGAGTAGAGCACCGCGGTCGCCGTAACGCCATCGGACGGCACTCACGACAGGAGCATGGTGGTTCGTATACTCATATTTTACTACCTATTTAGCACCGTGGCCGGTATCCCTATTGAAATTATTATTATCATTATTATTGCCATATTTGGTTGAATTATTATTATCATTATTATTGCCATATTTGGTTGAATTATTATTATCATTATTATTGCCATATTTGGCTGAATTATTATTATTATTATTATTATTGCCATATTTGGCTGGTATATGTTATTGTTCTTGTGTGTGTCATTTTTATTCATTTTGTCCGAGTTTTATGCCAGCGGCTTTCTCGGCGCCCACCTTAGAAGTATGAATAATATAATGTTTTTTTTTCTACCTACTTAGTGTGTTGTGTTTATCCTTTCTTAGCACGAGCGTTAGGATTTCCTCATTCCTGGTCTTACCAAGTATAAAAATCCACGGTGCTCCGACCTTTTGGGGTCCCGGCTCGTGGTTGGCGACCTTACTCGACCACATGACTCTCGGGTCATGAGCAATATGACTCGAGTTGTCACAAGTGGCACTCAACCAATTTACCAGAAACCTTATCGTCTTCCATATGCACAGAAGAAAGAAATAAATGAACAAATAAAACAACTAGAACAAAATGAAATAATAGTCCCCTGTGAGAGCCCTTGGAACGCTCCACTTCTTATTGTCCCGAAGAAAATGGATGCTTCAGGAAGTAAAAAATACAGAGTCGTGGTAGATTTCAGAAAGTTGAAAAATATCACAGTAGGTGACGCGTTTCCGATGCCTGACATAACATCAATTTTGGATCAGCTAGGGAAAGCGAAATACTTCTCCTGTCTTGATTTAGCTAGCGGTTATCACCAAATTGGAATTCATCCAAGGGATATGGAAAAAACAGCTTTCAGTACGAGTGAAGGTCATTATGAGTTTAAGAGAATGTGCTTTGGTCTAAAAGGGGCCCCAGCAACATTCCAAAGATTAATGAACAGAGTATTGAATGGGATCAACGGCTCAAGGGCATTTGTGTACTTAGACGATATAATTGTTATTGGTGCAACTCTTCAAGAACATACAACACGTCTACGTGAAGTGTTTGAAAGACTAAGGCAATATAATTTACAACTCCAGCCTCCAAAGTGCGAATTTTTGAGGAAGGAAGTGAATTATCTGGGACATGTTATCACAGAAAACGGCGTGAAGCCCGATCCAAAGAAAATTGAATGTATAGTTAACTATCCGGTACCCGATAACATGAAGAAAATCAAATCTTTCTTAGGGTTAATAGGGTATTATAGAAAATTCATAAAGGATTTTAGCAAAAAGGCCAAGCCTCTGACTAACTTATTAAAGCAAAATCAACCATTCGTCTGGTCAGATAGCTGCGAAGACTCTTTCCTTTTCTTTAAGAATATTTTAACAAATGAACCAATATTGCAGCATCCAGATTTTGATAGACCATTTATCGTAACAACAGATGCGAGCAATACAGCTATTGGAGCAATTCTTTCACAAGGAAAAATTGGAACTGACCTACCTATCACATACGCTTCGCGTACTCTGAACAAAGCTGAAAAGAACTACAACACCACAGAAAAGGAGTTGCTAGCGATAGTCTGGGCAGTAAAACAATTCAGACCGTATTTATATGGTCGGAAATTCACAGTGGTTACTGATCATAAGCCACTAACCTGGCTATTTGGGGTCAAGGATCCAGGAGCTCGTTTGGTTAGATGGAGATTACAGCTGGAAGAGTTTGATTATGATGTCATATATAAACCAGGTACTCAGAATACAAATTCAGACGCTTTAAGCAGAATATCAAAGGTAAACGCATTGTTACACTCAAATTACTACAAACAAAAGTCCTATCAACAATTCACCGAAGAGGTACAAACGAAGCTGATCACAAACCCTAATGTTATTGAAGTACAAGGGGATTTATTCGAAACCTCAAAAGACATTGCATTGGGACATTGCGTGTCCAAGGATTTCAAGATGTCTCAAGGGATAGCTTTGGAATTTAGGCGTAAATTTGGTCAAATTGATAATTTAACGAGTCAAAATAAAGAAGTAACAGAAATAGCAAGCATTCAACACAACGATCAAAATATCTTATATATAATTACAAAGAATCATCACCAAGAAAAGCCAACTTACGAAACATTTTACCAAGCAATAAAAAACCTAAGAACATTTTGTGAAGAAAACCAAATCGAAAGACTGGCCTTACCAAAAATTGGTAGTGGACATGACCAGTTAAATTGGGATCAAGTCCGCACAATATTACGTTACGTTTTTAAAAAATCAAAAATTAAACTTATCATCTATGTAGATACTACATATTCGGAACAGGAGAAACAAAATATAATAAAGGAATTCCATCTGACACCTTTAGGGGGACATCAGGGAATTTCCAAAACTGTTAAAAGAATTAAACTACATCATTCGTGGAAAGGTTTAAAGAACGACGTTATTGAGTACGTAAAAAAATGTACCTCATGTCAAATGAACAAAAGTAGCAACCACAGCATTCAACAGCCGATGGTAGTTACCACAACTGGGTCAAAACCATTTGAGAAGATATTCTTGGACATTGTAGGGCCAATTGATACTTCGTTGGAAGGGAACGCGTACATTCTTACGATCCAAGACGATCTTACAAAATTCTCAGTTGCTACACCATTACCCAACCACACTGCTAATACTATCGCAAAGGCCTTCGTAGAGAAATTTGTGTGCCTTCATGGTATACCAGATTCTATTCTTACAGATCAGGGTCCAGACTTCTTAAGTAAAATATTCCAAGCATGTTGCAAGCTACTTCAAATAGAAACTTTCAAGACTACAGCTTACCATCCACAGTCCAATGGAGCTCTTGAACGATCTCACCGTACATTAACGGAGTACCTGAGACATTTCGTTAGTGAACAGAAGCAAAATTGGGATCAGTATATAGCTTATGCAATGTTTGTGTACAACAATTCAATACACGCAACAACAGGTTATCAACCATATGAGTTGGTATACGGAAGACAAGTTGAGGTACCTCATTCCTTGAGTCGCAACCCTCAGCCATGTTATAATTATGATGACTATAATTTTGAACTACGTAAGAAACTTCAAGAATCACACAAGTTAGCTCGAGATAAGATTATAAAAACAAAAGAAAAGGCAAAAACAAATTACGATAAAAATGAACACAGCATAAATATCAATGTAGGGGATAAAGTACTTACGAAAGATCATACTCAAAAAGGAAAACTTAGCCCTAAATGGAAAGGACCATTTGAAGTCATCAGCATTCACGACAATCAAAATGTATCCATACAACGAGGACGTAAAAAAGTAGTAATACACAAAAACGAATTGAAAATTTTTAACTCATAATATAAATAATAATCGAATAAAATATTTCAAAACTCATTATCTCACCATAATATAAAATTTAAAGATCTAAAATATTACTTATATTAATTGTTTCAGAGCACTTTGTGCATTCGGACGCTTTATAAAAGCAGACTCTTTATATAATATTTCACAGACCAAAGAATCATCCGGAATTTATTTTGATTTCATCTCCGACATGCGCACAGTTGCAGCTAATTGGGAGATCACAGTATATTTAAATATTTCAATTTATTATACACACTATCTAAAAATTAAAAGTTTACAAGAGGAAACGTCATCACTTTGTGATGAAACTGCTAAAAGTTTTGAAAATAATTGTAATTTTTTTTGTTTTAAAAAAGAATTCCATACAAATGACATTTGTTTAGATTTTAAGGCAGCCTCAGAAAAAATTTTAAATGAATTTGAATCGGATACTTATAATATCTTTAAATTAATTGAAGGACAAAATAATTTAAGAAATAAACGACAGTTATCCAAAAATTTAGGGGATATAATCTATACGCTGTTTGGGACAATTAGCTTAAATGATATTACCAAATGGTACTCAAATATAAAAAATATGATAAAAAACGGTAGAAATTCTCAAAACATAGTAGAAAATAAAATGATGATCACTCCTGCGAGTGCGAACGAAGCGATATTGTTTGATAAAAAAACAGTAGAAGCAACAACAGAAGTTTCAAATAATATTAAAAAAATTCGACATTATATTACTTCCGACAGGGATAACTTTAACGATGATAATATGGAAAAAATAATTAAAAACCAAATTTTAAATTTAGAAACAATTTACAAACAATACTCTTTGGAATTAACGAGAATAAATCAAATCTTACATTTTGCTATACAGGGAAAACTACATCCATTAGTAATATCCTCAGCTCAATTATTAGAAGAAATTAAAACAATTAAATTAAACCTTCCATCTAATTTAGACATCCCTGTAAAACTAGACCTATCGGATATGTCAGAGATTTTTAAAATTATGCAAACAACTATTGTTAGAAATAATGATATAATTATGTTTATTAATACTGTACCAATTGTTTCTAGTACTTTATACAATTTATATAATATTATACCGAATCCAATGTTAATAGAAAACAATATTTATATGTTCATTAAACCTAGAATTAAGTATTTAGCTTTGACTATCGATCAAGAGTATTATGTAAATTTAGATCAAAACTAATTTAGTATGTGCTACGACACAAAACATTTTAAAGTATGTAAAAATCTTGTAACTCAGAGGGTGACAACATCAGATGATTGCGAACTCAATTTAATTATTAACACAAAATCAGCAAATATTGAAAATGTTTGTAAGTTTAAATACACGTCAATCAAACACGGTATTTTCCATAAGTTAATGTCGGCAAATTCATGGTTATACACAGTAAATCAACAAAATTTAATTATTACCTGTTTAAATTACAATCAAATTATTAAAAAAATTTATGGTACAGGAATTATATCTCTTAGTGAACAATGTTCCGCCTCATCTGCAGGTTATCATATGATACCATTCAGAACTATGTATTCTGATATAGATTCGGACATTATACCAAACATAAATATATCTCGCTACACCCATAGAACCCCTTATGTAAAAAATGTACTACCTTCGGAGTCTATTTTTGAAAATTATGAAGAAAATGAAGTTGTAACCCAGAACAATACAAATAACGAACCAATAATAGCAAATATTGGTTTGATTAGTTGTACTTGTATAATATTGTTAATTATAATATTTAGCTTAATCATAATAATTATAGTATACAAACGCAAAATAAAAAATGTAAGCCAACCGAGTTTGACGGAACCAGACAACATAGAAACAGTAGTTCTAAAGGAAGGAAAATCATCACCCAAAATAATTTTGTAAATCTAGGGTCATGATCTTCCGTATAACCCGGGGGGTGTTATGAACGCATTAGCTATTAGTATATAGTATTAGCCCTTTGTATTAGAATATAAGAGTATATTATTGTAGTCTGCGGGTAACGCCTAATGTGTGGGCGACTCCCGGAATATTGCAGCTACACGGCAGCCGCTAGGGAACCGTGGAGTCAGTCGTCTTAGCTCTTTAAAACCTGTACGTCGTTCTGACAGTCAATTATAAATATTACAGTGAATTATAAATTTCGACTCACAATAAAATTATATTAGTATTTAAATCTTTAAAACTGTTTTGTTGTACTCTCTCCAAAAATTGAACCCTCACACTACCGAAATAACAACGTTCAAACGGAACAACCCGTACGAGCACAACACAATAGTTATTACTTATTAGAGTAAATACACATTAAAATAATTTACTAAACAAAAAGCATACATTTACATATTTAATTAATATATTTTCTATTACTATGACCACGTTATATGTATACAATATGCGATGTAATCTAATAGTATTTAGTTATGCATGTAGGGCATTGAAATATGTTAGCATCACAAAAATAATAATTTGGTTAGTCGATAGTAGCATTTCTTTAAGATTGTATCAGTAGTATAAAGTTATATTATTCTAGTACATTATAAATATATTATTATAATTTTCAAATATTAGTATTAGTGTCTCGATAATTCGATAAAAAAAAAGATATGTCAATCTCCTTCTCCTTGGCAACGGCTTTATTTTTATTTCTATACTTGTACAGTACTTTGGGCGATCTTTTTGCTATCTCGATAACAATATTTTTCATAATAATTTCCAAAACATAAATCTGTTCTTCATAAGATCCCCCAATTCCGAACATCATCTTTGTCATCTTTCTAGCAAGTTTATTAAATTTTGTGTAGGTCAATTCTTTGACATCTATTGTGTTATCATAGGAGGGTGTATTTGATTTTCCCGACAAACTAGATGCTAGTTGTTTGTGAACAAATGCCATCAATCTATCAACTTGGATATCAGCGTGCTACACAAAAAATTAAAAAATATAATTTAGTAATAATCAGAATTAGAAATCTGCACAGTTACATTTTCCAGACAATATTTTTCTGGCATTTCGAACATATTATCCATTAAATGTTCGAAATTTGTATTATAAATGTTTTTAGTATAGAAAACATTCAAGTTTCTCAAAAATTCTTCCATTCTCTTTTGAGCTTTATTCGGATACATGTTTTATTCTGTAATTGTCTGTTCTCCTATGGTTAAATAGCCATACTTCATGTCGTTCGTTAAAAAGTCAAAAACTATGGGTTCTACGTATTGTTCACTGTTTTTTGTTATTAAAAACTGTTTTGGTATCAAATTATTTGTGTTTAAATACTGTAGCCTGTTAATTGTATTTTTTGAACGTCCCAGAATCCGGTCTATACAATTATTAATTATATTATTAATTACACGAATATGTTTAAATAATTAATTTCTGTAGTTAGCTTACAACTCATTCGTCTTTTCGTATATTCAAAAACAGTTCTTCTGCATATACCACTAACAATATACGAAACATTCTCATTAACATCCATTTCATGTTCTAGTATAAACTTAACTAAATTCATTATTTCGAGTGCGGTCGTTGATTTATCAATAAAGCCTTTAGCTTTAGCTACTGCATTATATACATCGTTATCGCTAAGTTCATAGTCCAAATCTATAAGTATTAAGTTGTCTAACTTATTATAATATCATATACAATTTTAATTTAATTCAATAGTATTGTCTAAAAAACTTTTTTTTTTCAAAAATTAAGAGCAATATGCTGACATATTATAATATTTATAATATTTAAAATAAAATAAAATAGATTTCTGTTATATTATTCAATAATTATAGAATTTATAAAATGTATAAATATTTTAATTAATTTTACAAAATTTCTGATAAAATGTTTATTGTTTATGTTTTAAATTGTAAATCCTAAAGAACCAGAGCTTGAAAATGTCGAATATTGAGCTGGGAGAATAAACGTTAAATATTAAGTAAATTTCGTAAAAATATACATAATTTTTTATATTATTTTTTTTTTTTGGATTACGAACCAGTTATTAATATTTCTAAAAAAGATGTATCCAAGCCCAATGAACGTTTATTCACATTCTTATCACTTGTTTTTTCGTAGATGTTTCTAAAACCATCGGGCGTTATATTTTCGGAGTTTTTAGCCATATCCTCCAAAATTAATGATTTTCTATAAACACATTGTGTAAGTGAGTCCCAAATGGGCCCGATCTTCTGTAGAAAATGTCTGCCTGCTTCGCAATTATTGAAGTTTTTTTTTAACATAGCTATTCTATCTAAATACACTCGAACATTATCCAAATCTGTTTGGTTATAAATCTTTTCTAATTTCTAAAATAAAATAAAAATAAAATTTTACTTGACTTTATGATATACTGTATTATATGAGGTTTGATTAAAATATATAACTTGGTCGGGTTAACATGAAATAATTTATTACTACCGATTGATCAGAATAGCTACACTGTTCTTCAGTAATTTCTTCCATCGGTTCATCATTAATTTCTTCTTCGAATTCTGCAAAGCATAATTCTTGGTCACAATTTTCAAAATCATCAAGTGTTTTATTTTCTATGCATTTGTCGATTAACTGTTGATTTTTTAATAATGTAATATTTTGATAATCAACTTTATTGTAATAACGTTCAATATCTCTTTTTTTCTTTTCAGAATGTCTTATTTTTTCTCTCTCAGCAAATAATTTTTGTGATCTTATGTGTTTATCTAAAATAATTTGTAATTTTTCCCTATTTTTAATGGTCTCAAGTGTTCTGTGATTGTGTATTCTTTGTTGCGTTTGCTCTGTTTTTTGATACCTGGCTTTCAATGTTTTATTATGATCTTTAACATTTTCCCGGTTTATTTTATCGATTCGTTTGTTGTATTTTTCCTCTAATGTTCCAAGCAATCCTTGGCGCTTATCATTTTCAGTTCTACGATTTTCTCTATGAGCATTTAGCTTAGCGTCTATAATGTTTTTTTTATTTTTACCTTCAAGATTTAATAATTGATCAATTTTTTTTAAATAAATCATGTTATTCTGCATACTAAAACAACTAATATACCTAACGATACAATAATACACATTTATTTTATGGACAAATATTTTTTCAAAATATCGTTTTATTCTCTGTTAATATTATTACCTTAACATAGTAACATGTGCTGTTTATTTTTATTATTATTATTGTTATTATTGTTATTATTATTATTATTATTATTATTATGCCATCATCCATTTCTTAGGAAACGTTTATTAAAAACACTTTTGGTTGGTTAGTACAATCACTGTTGATTTAATTATTTTGAATTTTATTTTGTATCTTAAACAATTTTGGAAAAACAGTGAAAAATTGACTCTACAATTGTATCTAATACTGAAGAACCATGTTTGTGTACCCCTGGGTAATAACAATATTGGATTTAATAAATAATATTATGCGTTATTGAAAACTAATATATATGTAAAGGAACCTTGTCATGACAATGAAATGCAAATGAAAGCTTCTTTTGAGGATAACTATCTTGACCATATGAGTAATTTAAAAATTGAATCAAGTCCATCACCAAATAGCTTGTGGCATCCGTACGTATATTTTTACATGTTATGTATACACAAAATAGTTAAGATTCTCTGTCCATAAATATTTCTTTTGATATTATTATTATTTCAGAACATAACGTGACTAGAAGTTTAATAGAATAATTTTGTGAAAGTGGTGCATCTATGGTAATATTTGATTTTAACGGCTTATCGTTTGAATAGAGTCAAAAAATGGTCTACGAAATTCGCCAAGGGGTTTTTAATTACAGTCTTAAAAAGAACAACCGAGTACCGTATTCAATGACTTTAGTACTTGATCTTGAAGGATCGTGCATTACAACTGGAAGCATATTCCATACAACAGTGTAAATATTAATATAAAATAATAATTTTTAAATAACGGTTATGATTTCTAAGAAAAATTATTCAAGTAGCGTGGCTTAATTATTCTAATGAACAACATAATGTATGATAATAAATTATACAAAGTGTGAAGTCATAAAAAATGTTATTTCTAAAACGATTTATTATTATCACGTTTCTAGTAATTTGTATAGAACACTTAATTTTACTTGATAGACCACACAACGTTTGATAGAATTACCGACGAACTCTCATGTTTACGTCACCAACGATGTCGAATAATTGTAATAATTGTAACTTTTAATATTATAAATTATAATATTTGATAAGAGAAAATTCTAACCGTATAAAATAAAACTGTTAACAGCCAAACTGACTATATGTATATTGGATGGGGTCAAAAGCATGATTATAATATGCTTCATAACATTTTTATGGACGAAATTAAAATGGAAAATCCAACTCAAGATGATACCTTTACGGTGGAGTTTCAAGAATTTACTAAGAAAGAGAAAATGGAGAATGAAAAACATCGCATACGTAAAAAACGTAATAGCCCTTTTCCACTACGATTTAATCGTACAAAATACAAAGGTGGTGAAAAAGTTATTACATATTATTAGGGCTCGGAAGTTGATGACCTTAAAAATATCAAAAAATGACCTAAAAAAAATGCAAATATGACATAAAAATGACGAAAAATGTCCTCAAAAAATGACCTAAAAAAATTACAAATATTTGTTTTAAATTTAAAAACAAATAACATTTTTTAAAAATATTTTACTCTATTTTACCATAAAATTCTATATACATTTATCAAAGCTTACAAATTTCTCAAAATATGACATAAAAATGACAAATAATGTCCTTAAAAATGAAATAAAAAATATTTGTTTGAAAACGACGTGACGACTGTAATCGGCAAGATAAAATCGGATACTAATCAACTATTAGGAAAAAATAATAAAATGTAGGTACAATAATATTCACTACAACACGAAAACGATAAAATGTAATCGGCGAGATAAAATCGGATAGGTACTAATCTTAGTCCGTGGTAATTTCCAAGTTTTAAGTTATCGGCATAGACAAGAAACGATAAGAAGTTAACTATTGTGAAATCAGTAAAAATGACTAAAAATGTCGAAAAATTACCTAAAAATGTCAAAAAATGCAAAATAAAATTTAGTTTTTCAGATTCACATGCTAATGAAACGCATTTGTGGCCAGGAGAGCATCGTCTTAAAAGTTCCAAAAAAAAATGAAAAATTCCTCAACTTCCGAGCCCTACATATTATACTTAATAAGCAGAATCTTCAATCATAAATTGTTAATAAAAAATATCATACAAATAAAATATCAAGTGAATTATAATTTTTATTTTTGCTGTAATTTGTATACTATCGTTAAGTAGGTACCAAATAGGTTGGTTTCAATAAATATATACTCAATCGGATCTTCATCCAAAATTACAAGCTAATATACCTACTTACATCATTTATTGTGGTCATTGAAAGAAAAATATTAGAATATTATTTTTAAAAATATTCTGGTTTTAAAAAAAAAAAAAAATGTTTAAATCATTAATTAACGTTGGTACTCAAGGACTTAACGTTTAATGGTCGTGACAAATTAATTTGGTTACTGTAAGATCAGAATTTTGAATGGTAAATATTAATTTAAATTTGCCACCACTTTGTCCGAATTAAATTGTTCTTAAATAAAAATAATTGTATGTCTGTTAAATGCATAGTTTAATAATATGTCATTTATAATATAATATTATAAATTTTATAGAAATTGATTATAATACACTACGTTGATTTCGTTTTCTCTGGCCCACGCGCAACATAGATAATGTATGTACCTATAGAAGAACCAACCCAGCTGGGTCTTTACTTTCAATCAGTGGCGTAGCAAGGGTATGGCGAACTGTGCCTACGCCAGGGACGCAAATTATGAAGGGGCGCAAATTTGTGCTTTTAAATTGGTACTTATTTTTATTCTACCTTCAAAACGACATTTCTTTATTACCTATACGGCTATAAATTTTGAAATGTGTATGATTTTGTTTATCTTGTTTATCTTTAAATTCGTGTTTCGTGTGTGTGTTTGTGAACACTGAACATCGAGCTTATCGGATCGCCCGTGGCCCGTCTATAAAGTATATTATTATATTATCTGTTGTCAATATAGGTATATCAATAATCTTATTATAAATATATTAAAAATAAATATAAATATATTAATATTATATTAAAAATTACTTAAGATCAACTATTGGACTAACAAGCATGGCAATTTTATCCATAGAACATGAATTTGCTAAACAAATTTCATATGACGAAATCATCAATGAATTCTCTAGCCTTAAAGCAAGAAAAGACAATTTTTAAAGTTTTAAATTTACATTATTATAATAACTGATAGTTAAATAATATTGTATTACCTAATTATATATATAACAAATAAATGTTAAAAAATATCATTCCGTATTTTCGTCAATTTTTTAATCTCTAAAAAGGCGCATTTTCCTAGGTTTGCCAGGGGCGCTAACGAGTCTTTCTACGCCATGGCCATGCGCGCCACTGCTTTCAATCTTAGAGTGAATTCACCTATTGTCAAACTACAAGCCAAGAACATTACCTGTAACCTGTGTCCATACTTTGGTTTTTTCAATATTTTAATTTTTATACAATTTACTAACTGATTCGTTGCCCCGTTAAATGTATCAATTCTATATGACTCAAAGTTTGTTTAATTCGTTATTTAATATTCGGTATCTTAACTTTTCCGTTGCCACGAATAAAAATTCTGATTCGCAACAGTACATTATCAGGTAGGCAATCTACCTGTGATAGATCGCGGACTCCGTGCTGTTTGTACTTAAGTGTATGATTTAACTCTTAAGTATCAAAGTTATACCAAGTTAATCGTTTTTACTTAATTTCGCCTAAGGTGGATTATTATAATCAATTTATACAAAATCCTATCCTAACCTAACCGTACTAAAATAAGATGAAAAAAAAAACAAATTTAACCCTTAGTAAATTAACCTATCTTCTTCCCGGATGTCTAAACTACCCGCAGACATTAATTTATATATACATATATATAACTATCTAAATACATGGAATATACAGACTAAACTCTGGAACTACTTATCAGATCTTCTTGTATTTATTATATATGTATATTGCCAAAAGATAATAATACAAATCAACAAACATGCCCGATTAACCAATAACAACCAATATATTATACACTGGTGGATTTTCCTAATATTTTTTTTTTCATATAAACCTTATCCATGAAATACTCTTTCGTTTGAAAAAAAATCAAGAAGATCTGATAAGTAGTTCCAGAGATAAGTAGTACAGAGATTTTCATTTCACATTTTTATAGTTCGATATTATACTACAATTTATATTTAAAAATTAAAGCAAATAGTTTTTTTTTTTATTATTATTATATTGTAATAGCTTAAAAACCTTTGGTAACCATTTATAAACAAAAATTTCCGTTTGATCACCTCCCGGGGTTGGTCCTCTCCCTTTTTAAATTAACCTATCTTTTAAGTTGGACCAAATTACACATAGTGTAAAAAATGTCATCAAGCGATCAGTAGTTTCGAGGTTTATTCCGGACAAACATTGTGACACGAGAATATTATATATATAATAAAAAAATAATTTGTAATAATTTAAACGCTCATAACTTATATAACAATAATTAAAATACCACAAAATAGCAAGCAACGTATAGGGACACAGCCAATGTTTAGAGGAAATGCTCTGAGTGTACGTATCGGCCGGTGTTGCTAGCTCCCGGATGGGTGACCACCCGGGATTTTTAACTACAAATCCTTGCCACACATACAAACGCGTTTCATCCAACTGTTCCAACCGTTCCTCCCCTTTACAAACAAAAAAACAGCTAATGACCATTATAGCCGGGCTTAAGCTGAATAAAAAAAAATAAAATATTGATGACTGTCTAAGGTAGAGTACAGTAGTAATTATTATTACAAAACATAATACATAATAATATATCTATTAAAAAAAAAAAATTATTACATTGAATTCCACTAATTACTATAATTACAATATTTATAATTTTATTGTAATTTGTAATCATATTATTTTGTTAGTAATTATTACAAAATACAATATTATATATCATAATTGCAAGCATATATGTTTGGCATCAGCCTTGCCAGTTCTGTCACTGATTTGGCTGCCTTGAAGGCGACTATCTAGAATGACCCTCAAGTACCATATGTGTCGGCTCAGACTGATAATTTGGCTCCTAATACGAAGTTGAGGATTCTAGTAGTAAATATTTGTATATTCACAGTCAGCTTTTCCACGGTAACAAACATTTTTCAAGGGGGAATGTGCGCTTAGAGCACTCGGATTTACCGAACTTATTGTCAACACACTGTTGTCCACGTATTTCCCCCTCACACAAAAATATTTTACCAAACCTTAATGTAAGCTTGAAATAATTATTTCAAGTAAAAAACACAAATTATGAAATAAAACATTTTTTTTATTGTTATAAATTAAACATTTATAAAACAAATTTAATATATAATTTAACATATTTTTTTACATTTGTTTTCAATACAATCGATAATCTAACAAATGTGACTTCCTAACCAATTTTTCCAAATAATTATAGATTTCATTAAACAAATAAATAATGTATGCAGATTTTTATTATTGCTCTTATAATCAATAAATATTTTTACATCTATCCAACTTCCTTAGTA